CATGATCCAGTAATTAAACTAAAGCCATTCATTGATGCTTATACTGGCCCATACAAGGATCAGTACAGATACTGGACTGGACTCCTACTGATAATACGCCTGCTACTGACTACTGTATTCTCATACACTACAGGAACTATACCAGAAATCAATAACTACATCATTGCAGTGGTTGCAGCTATACTGCTTTACAAGTCAAGGAATGTGTACAGAGCAAACAAGCTTAATATTCTTGAGGCATTTTACCTCATTAACTTAGGTGTGATGGCTCAACTGAATGCTGTATCTGTTGGGATGAACCTACACATTTCCAGTATAGTCACATCAGTATCGATCAGCCTCTCCATGATTCCTCTCATTGTCATTATAACACTGCCTGTAAGTTCTAAAGTTGCAAGATATTTTTACGTGAGATGTTCCTGTATCAAGAAATACACTGAGACTGGAGATGAGGAGGAGCAAAATCCACTGCTAATGAACGAGGAGGAACTGCACTCACCAACACGTATTGTCATGGGAAGAGAGTCAATGATATTTGACTTCAATATGTAAAAGGATTAAAATAATGTTTGCTTGTGCCTATATTATAAATGTGTCTGATTTTGCTACAATTTCCCCTTTGCACCTTTGTTTTTAATGGTTATTAGTTGTAGAGTTTTAATACTGAGTGAATAGTAGTGCTGTACATGTACATTATAATTATTTGGTTTTATATTCTTAATCAGTAAAATAAAATTTTCAACCAAAAAGCAGTAAAGTGGCTGTAATATTCATTGCCTTGGACTTTAGCCTGATTTTGAAGCAACTTTAAAAATTCATAAAAAATTAATTTGATTGGAATGAGTTCAAACTTTCTACAACACAAAAGTACATGTATATACATCTGAAAAAATATAAAATGAAGAATTCTCTCTTCGCCATTTTTTTGAGAAGTGCATTGTACTATAGCCCATTGTTTTTTCCCAAATTTTGGCAACTTTATAAATTTATAAAAATTCAATCTTTGGCTCACACTTATTAAGAGTTTATTACTACCATTAAAAGAATGAAACATTAAATGATGAGCAACTCCAATGCATGTGTTGTTATCCCAAGCATGTATGATTACAAGTCTTATCTGGACATTTAAGTAATGCTTAGTATTTAACTCAATAATGCATCCACATTTACATTAATAATATATTGTCAGTACAAAATATAAGTTTAAGATTTATGCTAAATAAATGCTTTTACCAATAGATAAACATAAAAAAATAGTTGTGTTTACGTTTCAGGTAAAACAAACATCAATAGCTGCTGTATAAGCTCACAAAACAAAAGTCATTACTCATAACATCTTTACAGTTTATACATTATAGATGCACATGTAAAATAGTTGTAGTAGTAAATTGTGCATTGCAAAATTTCTAAATGAGACAGCACTACCTAGTAACTACTTTTATTAACCAACACAGGATGTTCAAACTATCATATAAGACAAAATATTAAAAAACACCAATATAACAACACAGTATACCAGCAGTGAAAGATGATGATAGTGTTTGTGATACTTGTCTGCTTCAATGGTCTCCTTGTTAGCTCTGAGAGTAACTACCTTCCCTTCCTGTATCCTACTGACTATCTAACAATCAGCTCTCAGGAATTGTATAAAAATACTTCCCTTCCATCCACATTTAAATTTGGATTTTCTTGTTTCAACTATATATATGTAAGGCTTGTATAACATGTATGAGTATAATGAATGGACTTATTGTTTAGGTTCATGGTGAAGGATTTCTTTTTGTGCATTTTAGTGATAGAGTAGACTTGTGGATTGCTCCATATTTTGACTATATAGACTTTACTAAGAAAGGTGAAGTGCGTTATGCTCTTATAACTCCAACAACAAATCTTTCATTGTGTAATCAAGTCAATAATTACTTATCTAATTCAACTGGTAGTAGTGTATCTGTTGAATGGATACTGTGGGCCTACTGGTATGATTTATGTCCATATACAGATAGATTTTGCAACCAGGTTAATAGTATTTGTAACTTACAATAATAATATTCTTGCAGTCAAACTATTATCAGGTTGTATTAGCTCATCAAAGTAATGCCACATATGCTGTGTTTATATACGAGTGTGGATTCATATGATGGACAAAATATGGAGATTTGATAATGTTACTAACATAGACTGCTATGATACAGTATCAGGATGGACTAATATTGTATACAGACTAGATCAAGGTATTATTAATCAATGTAACATATTCTTATAAAGGTTTATTAGTTATAGATAGGTTTGACTTCCTATCCATTACACCTCACAGCATCACAGTATCATGGGAAATGAGCATTCCAATTATTAACAGTGTATTTAACCTGAGTATCACTCATTCTCTTTAAACAGTTAATGATACTATTACTGTTACTGGATATAATGCATATAACTTTACTAATGAAATAAACCTTTGCAATGTTTATACTTTCAAACTGACTCTACCAAAAGCAAAAACCGAATGCAATGAGGACACAAAAATCATATCAACAGGTACAACCACAATGATTATTATATTATATTCTAATTCTATATACATTACACTTATAACCTTTTAGAAGCACCAAAACCTGACAACGTATCTGCATTATATCTAACCAATAAAACATTAATAATAAGATTTCAAGTAAAAGTATTTGCACTATACACTATAAGATTTATTATATCACTAGATACTTCAGTGCTTCACAGATAAAATACAACTGCTTTTGGTTGAGGCTGATACTTCTAATACATCAGACCCACTGAATATTGATAGTCTTCAATACAATGATGAGTTTTATATTATACACTGGAATATAAAACTAAATGATCATTCATTGTATTACCTAACAGTATCAGCAATTGGTATATATGAAACTAGTAGCTCTAATCTAACAGAAATAAGTAAGATACATAATATAAATTTAATGTCAGTTAATCACTGTATTTGTAGGCAAATATAATGTAAAGGATATAATGATAGAGAGGAATAAAGATATTGTCTGCTTTGTTTGTGTTACTGAAATGTTTAATGAATGCCAAATATTAATAGCATCAACAACAACACTGATACCACAATCAATACAAACTAATGGAACATGTTATTCATTTACTGATAATGGAACATACACTGTATATGCACATGATATTGAGAATGGAATAAAGATACTGACACCAGCAATAGTTATTGAATACACAGTTGACTGGAATAGACCATCACAAACAGGTTAGTAATGAGATATTATACACTTAAATTCAATTTTTACAGTGAGTGTGTTTTCAAGTACAAAAGAGTTCATAATATACCAAACAAGCAGCAAAGAATTGATATTCTCAATGGAGCCCTGTGTTACCTTGTCTATTTCAGACATACTCAAAACTACTAATGATATTGATCATCAAAGTATGCTTCATACATTATACACACATTATACATAATTTAGTGTCAACAATAGGTCAATCACAGATCACTATTGGATATACAATCATAAATGAGTTTCAATCATCAAGTAAAGGTCAGTAATCAAGTAAAGATCGATTTATTTAAATTTTTACCACCAGAGAGTGTTTCATATTCTAAGGAGTTGATAACAAGCAGCAAAGAATTGCTATTTTCAATGGAGCCCAGTGTTACCTTGCCTAGTTCAGCAGTACTTAACACTACTATTAACAATAATAATAACCATCAAAGTATGAATTGCACAGCGCACACATCACAAATCATTATTATAATACTGGGAGTTCTCCTTGGACTCACAACACTTGCTGTTCTCATACTATCACTAGCAATGATTGTAATACTGAGGAAGAAAGGTAAAAGGAGACACATTACATTATTATCATTATTATGATTTGAATGCTACAAAGGTAAAGCAAGATCTGATGACAACTCTATACCTGATCAGACTCCAGAAACTTATGAGATCCCAGTCACCACAAAAGAGAATCCATCATATGAAATGATAAGCAGTGACATACAATCCATTAATAATAACTACTATGAAACTGTTAGTATTAGCAGTACAACAACATATGATGTCCCAAGGCCACAAGCCTCACAGAATTAAACATTTTAAGTAATGCTCTACTTAATACGGCATTTATAATATCAGTGTAATAATTTTATACATTATAGTACACATTGCCATTATGTTGAGCCAGCACACAAACAAAAGCAACAATGAGCACTTACACTTTTAAGCTAGATAAATGCTATTACCAGTACAAAAACATGGCTAAACCAACACAAACCAATCTATATAGTAAACTACAAAAGGAACTGTCAAATTAGATATGTGTTGTTCTTTTGGCTACATTTTACAAACAGCTCAGGATATCTACTACTTTGCAATTGAAGCCTTGCAAACATTATGTGTATAGGAACAATGACCAAAACACTGACAACGTGAATTCACTCATAGACACACTATATATAGTATATTACGTCAACGCTATATACATTTAGAACAAATTCCAATGCACAACATAAAAACATGTATATAAAATGAATTTTAAAATTGAAATTTTTCTTTCAGATAAAATACCCTGTACTATAGTTACAGGGACTTTGGCCCCAATTTTTGAGCACCTTAAAAAATTCACAAAAAATTCAATTTTGATTGAAATCACCTCAAACTTTCTACACAACATAAGAAGTACATGTATGTGCATTTGAAAAAAATATAAAATGGAGATTTTTTTTAATTTTGGTGAGATTTGGCTCCAAGACTATGTACAGGGGCTTTGACCTGATTCATAAAAATCCAATTTTGATTGGAATTAGCTCAAACTTTTTACACAACATAAGAACATGTATATGTATCAGAAAAATTATAAAAGTGAAGAATTCTTTTTAGTCAATTTTGACAAAATACCCTGTACTTTAGTCTGATTTTTTAGCAATTTCAAAAACTCATAAAAATCCAAATTTTTATACACATTAAGAGTAATACAGGAACAGAGGCTTCATGATAATAATATCTTACTTTATTTGTTGTATTTGATCTTTAGTAAGACAAGATGTTTGACAGAATTGAATTCGCTGCTCTTATGAAAAATAGATACATAAGGTCATAAATTGCAATTATAGTTTTATCATTATTATCATTATTGACATTATAATTAGTAATCATACTTTTACAAGGGATAATAGCTGGTAAAAATTTGTTATTATAGATACAGCAAATTGCACAGACCTTGCAAACCAATTCATAAACCAATCTATGAACTTCAAAGGGGACTGTCTAAATTGAGGCGTGTCTTGCATTGTGTGGTCACATTACCACCTACTTGGCAGTTTGCAAGGTCTATGCAAATAGCTGTAGTGAAAGTAACTGAACAATAGTTATTATCACTCAGAAATAGCAAACATTAATCATGATGATATTCACATGATTCCATTCAATGAAAAAATTTGTACATGCATACATGTAAATGAAGTGAATGAACATGTCAACTACATTAGCATCACAATCCTTTGTCACCAGGAGAAAATATGATGTAACTGCAAGCACATGTACACTTAATTGTACATTAATAAATGTATAATAATTTTAGTCCGCAGATGATTAATTTTGTACAGGTCTGAGTATAAAACTACAGAACTGGAGTGATCAAAATTCATATTGAAAATAGAGTAGCATAGGTAGTTTACGGACAGCGGTAGTATG